TGTATCTTGAGAATCTCCAAGAGCAGCCACTGCACAGAACATATTCATAGAAACAGGCCAAGAGTAAGATTATCAACAAAGGTTATATTGTACTACGCAGTCTTTTTAAAGAGGGTAGAAAAATGGGTAATTCTTTTCTAAAAGCAACTCATCCAAAATGCTTAAAATATTATTGTTTACTGTGGTTTAAATCTGAACACTTAAATTGGAAGCTGCAGTTGTATAGAAGACTGTACTGCACAATAAATGCTGAGTAAAGCACTATAGTTGAAGGAAGAATTTTAAGCTTAACTCAAACCTTAGTTACATGGAAAATATGAACACTTCATTCTCTGACTACACTGGAAATGTTAGGTGTTTCTGTTATTTGAAATAACATTCAAGTTATGAAATAATAACCTGACCAATAGAAAACTAAGAACAACTATGTAACTGTCATTAAAAGTAGTTTATTTTTAAAATCATCATTTGTCTCCACTCTGCTTAGCTCATCACACTCTCGTCTTAAATCACTCATTAGTCCTCTAGCCACAAGACAGGAAAATTATGACTTTGTGAGGGGAGTTTCTCTTTAAGTATTAATTTAAGAGTTTAACAAATTTTATTTTTAAAACTGGTATGCATACATACTTAAATATATACATTTTAATATTGTCCTCATAAAACAATGTTAAGCCATAGAAAGAGAATTTAGATTTTAATTCTGTCAAAAGAACTAAAATCAAAAGAATATGTAAGCTTTTCAATAACCTATGAAACTTGAAAATAACAGAAAAAAATGAATAATACCTAATTTTCTGTGAAGAATGGAGGTTTTAGAAAATGCCTGAAGGGCTTTAAAATTTAATTTTTCAAAGTTCTAAATGAAGAGAATATGCAGGGAAAATAATACTAGTTGGCATATAGAACCAAAGTCAATCTATGAATATTTCAGAATTGAGTGTAGGATATTTAGATGCCTCAAATGACCTATTTTCTCTCCTCACAATCTGTGAAAAATATGATAAAACTGTACTTATTTGTTGAGATAAATATCACCCAGATATGTTTAGTCTACAATATATAAATTTGCACTGAAAATACCTCATGAAATAACTACATATACAATCACAATGAACCAAAATTCAGCTCAATTCCATCCAATCCCATGATCCTACCTAATCAAACAACCCAATTCTAAAGTTCAAAGTATAGCAATATTGGGGTTTTTTTCCACTTTCCTATATACCAGCAACAAACAAGTGAAAATTGACATGAAAAACACATGCCATTTACATTAGCATCTCCCAAAATGAAATACTCCAGATATGGCTCACTTGACGGGGGTGCTGTGGTGGCTGTGCCTCTGGACAGCAGGACCCACAGCCCTCATGCCAGCCCCCAGACTGTGCCCCCATCCCTGTCCTGTTCTCATGGTTCTACCACCAAACCCTGCCCAGCTCCTGTTGGCGCCTTGGAGGTCCACCTGCCCATGGTGTCCCCAGCAGGACCTGCAGAGGGGGGTGCGGGGCGGGGGGGGGGGGGTGGAGGAGGGAGAGGGAGAGCAGGCTGCAGGTACTGTTCAAGTAGTTCTAAAAAGTGACCTTCACTAGCCACAGAAATCAGACAAGGAAAAAATAAATAAAAGGCATCCAAATTGCAAAGGAAGAAGTAAAACTCATTATTTGCATATGACATGGTACTATATAGAAAGATCCCTAAAGATTCTTTTCAGGGGTGGGCAAACTTTTTGACTCGAGGGCCACAATGGGTTCTTAAATTGGACCGGAGGGCTGGAACAAAAGCATGGATGGAGTGTTTGTGTGAACTAATATAAATTCAAAGTAAACATCATTACATAAAAGGGTACGGTCTTTTTTTTTTTTTTTAGTTTTATTCATTTCAAACGGGCCGGATCCAGCCCGCGGGCCATAGTTAGCCCACATCTGCACTAAAATATGATTACAACTGTCAGCCAATGGTTATTGGCACCAAGTCAATGCCAACAGGAATCTCCAACTTGGGGTGGGGTGAAGAAGGAAACTTTACTCAGTGCAAACAGCTCAACTGAGATCCATCAGGACTATGGGAACAGCATGGCTATGGAACAGCTCTGTGCGGAGGTCCTGGGGCCAGGAAGCCCTGGAGCGAGGCCCCTTTCCAGCCAGACAGCTCTGCTCTCCTCTGGTCTGCTCCCAGGAGTCAGTGTTTCAGCTCCAGGCCCCGGAGGGGAAACACAGTCTCAGCCCTTGATAGAAAGGGAAAGTGAGCTCTGGTAATACTGTTCTTCTGTGAGATGTTTTTAAGCCTAAAGAAGTGTGTGATTATATAATAACGTTTTAAACCTAAATAGAGAGTATGCCTAAATTGTTTACGGAGTAAGGAAAACCATTACTGTGAAAGTATGAATAGATACACAAGAATGGTAGTGTGTGTGCAAGGGATGGTTTTACTTGGTTTGGCTTTGTAAACTGTTCAATTTTTCCAGAACACCATTAGAGAATTACAAAATGAAATGTTTCTGTTTATAGACAAAAAGGCACATGGCTGATCTATCTACCATTAAACATATGCCTACCATTACCTTGCTCATATTTAGAGAAATTCAAAAACAAATATAAACACACTTTGCTTAAAGGTTACTTTTTTAATTTTAGGGCTGTCATTGAAGGTTAGCAATGATCTAGTCCAAGGTTATTTTACACACGAGAAAACTGGAAAATGGGAAGGTTGCATGGCTTGTTAGAAGCCATACAATTATTTTAAGAAAAGTAAACTCAGAAATCAATTATATTTCCATTAAACCAACTTCCCAATGTAAATATCAAACCACCTCGGATTTGATATGTAAAAATGAAGACATAAACTCATTACTAGAGATGGATGAGATACTCAGAGTTTGGCAACTCTGAAAAGCAGAGAAAAGCAACAGAAACGCATCAATATTGATTTTTTCATTTTGCTGAACTTTAAGTGGGGCCATTTAAAACAGCCAAATGACCTACAGTGACTTTTTTTCTAAAAAGTAAAAGCCTTTTAGACAAAGCCTATCAAAGAGATCTCCTTACTAGACATGGATGATAATTTATATGCACCATCAACTATTTGGACATAAAGAACAGCCTTAATAATATTATCCACATAATTAAATACAAAGGTTGAAATCTTAGCCAGAAATTGAAATTTATTTTAGGTACAATACTAAGGTTATGTGTAAACTGTAACTAAAGTAGCAATTATGTTTGTTTCACAGTAGAAAAGAATAATTATTCAAATAAAAATTACAGCTAGCTCAGAAAGTAATCCACACAAATCAGTGAGAAATGACTGAAATTTCTTAAACTTAAAGTATAATTTAAATGAGGTTGAGATACAAGTCCCTGTCTTCACCTAAACTGCATCTGAAGAGGGAGCAAATGAACATTAAATGACCTAAAACCAGACAAAAATGGAGAAGCAAAGGGAATAGTACCAACCGCTGAATTTATTAATTCAATAAATATTTGCTGAGAGTCATATGCTATATATAGTAGAAAGAATTTTTTTTAAAAAGACTCAGCAAAAAGCAGACAAGGTTGCTGTCCTGTGAAGGTTAACTCTGATGAAGCTTTTATGAAATACATTAGCCCAAGAAGCATGGCATATGTTGGAACTTGCTTGAGACCATCCTGTTTTTAAAAAACTAATTCCTTCTAATAGCTGTGAAATAAAGGTAAGAAAATTGTTCTATCTACCTAACTTAAAAAAATATTTTCCTAAGTTTAAAAACTTTAATACAGCCTATCTCCTTCAAAAGGTTGCATCCTAGACTGCACAAAATGGTACATTTAAAAGATTTCATATAATTTTACTGTTTGCAACCCCAGTGCCATTAAAAGTCAGTGAGGCAGGTCTTCCTGCTAGAAAGGTGAACATTTGTAACAGTCCAAGTTAAAAACAAAAAGTCTCTCAAAATTATTAAATATACATCCTAGTATACATATCTATATTTGGCTTAAGATGCTTAACACATTTTTTTCACAAAGAAAAAGAAAAATATAGATATAAACTGCAAAGGAGGAAAAGGTTTCATCATCTTTGATTCTTAGACGATTACCGATGGCTGACGATGAGGGGTTTTACTGAACCAAGTACAGTAAATTTAAAGCAACTTAATCGTTCAAAGAGGTTCCTAAGAAATGGATGCTTAGGACTTCAATTTTTTTACTACTCATAAATAAGACTTAAAGAAAATGTATCAGCATATTAAAAATAAGTTATTGTAGGCAGTAAATATTCCTTTCGCAGATAGTAATTCCTTTAATAAATAGTACTGGTAATTATTCCTTTTATGTCTCTATATTTTGTAGAGTAAAAGAATACTACACTTATAACTAGAAAACACGTAAGGAAAGGCAGAACTTGGAATAAACCATTGGAACGTAGCCTAGGTAACCTCCACAGTCCCACTCTTGCTAACAACTGCAGACACAGCACTAGCGCCGCAATTTAAAGTGGGGAGAAAGCGCACGCACACATACACACACACACACACACACACACACACACACACGCTGGCATGTAGCAGGCACTCAAGATCTGCGGCATGAAATGGCTTAATATATGTAAACAAGCCAAAACAAGCACGGAATGCACACTGATTTTGAGGCAACGCGGTAAACAATCACCACAGTAGCGACCACTTCACCAAAAGCTGGCTGACAGCTAACACGCACTAAATCAAAGCGCTCTTCCCCCTGCCCTCCCTCCTCTTTCACTCTGGACTCGAGATTGCACATTCAAAACAAACCCATCCCCAGCCCCGCCCCAAACCGTACCCTCGCCGCTGGCAGCCCTGCAACTGACCGAAAGTCCGGGGCCTCGGCAGTGCCCGGACCCCCGCCCGTCTGGGGGCGCGCGGGCCCGCGGGTACCCCGGGTGCGCACAGGCCGGGGCGCAGGGCTACCGCGGGGTGCCTCGCGGCCCCCAGCCCCGGGCTCAGGCAGCCCCCTCCCGTCACCCCGAGCGACCGGCCGCCGTACCTGCACACGGTGATCAGGTTCCTCCTCTCCACCGCAGCATTGCGGGCGCTCAGGCTCTTCTTGCCGCCGCCGCCCCCGCCACGGCTCCCGCTCAGGCCCCCCAGGCTCCGGGAAGCCATGGCAGGCTGACCCCGCGACCCTTTTGTCTCGTGCCACCCCGCGCGCGCCCCACCCCCACCCCCACCTCTTCCAGGCTCTCCCTCTGGATGCGACCAAGGGGTGGCGGGGACGCAGGGAGGATGGAGAAGACGGCGGGGACTCGCACGGGGGACTGACGACTCGAGCTCCGCACCCGAGCTGCACACACACATAAATACACGCACACACACACACTCACGCGCGCACACTCACTCACGCGCACACACTCACTCACGCGCACACACGCACGCACCACCCCCTCGCCCTCGCGCGCGCCGCCGACAGCCGGGCTGCGCGTGCGGTTCGGCGTCGGGCGCTCCGCTACTTCCCGCGGGACCTGGGCTGCCGGCGCGCGCACGTGCCCGCCGACCCCACACACCCAGCCGCCCGCACTCAGCCGTCGCTAACTCCCCAGCCCCAGCCGCCGGTTCACACCGCGGGCCCGCCGCGCGCCGCCCCGCCCTCCCTGCACCTATCTGCCAACGCCACCCCTGGAACCAATCGTGGGGCTCCGGGGGCGGGGCCTGCCGCGCGGACCTTAAAAGCCACGCGCTCCAGCTCCGCCCCGGCGCGTGGGCAGCTGTCAAGAGGCTGGGCTCGCGCTCGCCGCCGGCTCGGTGCTGACAGTCGGCACTCAGGGGAGCCGCGCGGCTGTCTGCGCGGGGATTGTGGAATGCGGGGCCGCGGAGAGACCCGAGCTGGTTACGGACCCTTACCTGGAGTCTGGCTTTAACGGCTGGGATCTCTAGCTTTAAATGGCTGATTGCTGTCCTGGAAACCGACTTCCAAATTCTATGGCATCTTTGGCTAAGGCGCCGAGAAGGCAGTGGTGCTGGCTCTTGCACCCGACCTCAGGGCCTGACTCCCAGGAAGGAAATGGGGTTTGTCCAAATGCTCTCCCCTGGACTGATACACAGCTACAAATAGCCCAGAGGGAAATGACTCGTATAATATCCGTCCTGGGGTGTCTGGTGGTGGGATTTCTTGACCCTCCAGGTCCCCCCAGCACTGCCTGCAGCCAAGACTGCCCACGTAAAAACCAGCGCGGTGCTCAGTCTTCTGCACCCTTCTACTGTCCGGGGCAGCGACCCCGGAATTGGGTGGGAGCGGTGAGCCTCCTGGCAGTTTGGTCTTCCCCAGGGTGCTCGCTGAGAGAGGCAGGGAGGGCTACCTCGTCACGCGGATTCAGAACCTAGCGTCCACTTTTCCAGAGCTTCTCCCCCGCCCCAGTCTTACTAGCAGGGAGGTCCTAGCTTCCGGCCCTGCGTTCTCAGGCACCCACCTAAGTTGATGGGTCAGTTCACCTCCCTTTGCATATCCCTGTGGGACCTACCTAGCAGGTTCTCAATAAACATTTATTAAACTTAACTTGAAGAAACCTTTGGTATTATTTTACTGAAATTTTGGTTTGCGTGGCTCCAAAATCCATATAACTTTCGCCTCTGGTTTTGCAATTTCTCTCAAAAAATGTTAGAGGATATATAGTTTAGTGTAGATATCGCCATACTTTATGTATATTACATGTATATCAGGAGATACTCAATGTTGAATGCTTTCAAAATACAAAATTTTGTGTAATGACACTGTAGACTACTAATTTCCGAGGTCATAAAACACTTTTTAATCTCTATTTTATTATTATTTTCAAATATATTTTATTGTTTTTTTTACAGAGAGGAAGGGAGAGGGATAGAGAGTTAGAAATATCGATAAGAGAGAAACATTGATCAGCTGCCTCCTGCACACCCCCTCCTGGGACTGTGCCCGCAACCCAGGTACATGCCCTTGACTGGAATCGAACCCGGGACCCTTCAGTCCGCAGGCTAGAGCTTTATCCACTGAGCCACACTGGTTAGGGCTAATCTCTATTTTAAATCATCGGGGCAAAGACTGAGCCCTTTCAGCTACTAAATATAATCACAATAAGATAAAACTTTGTGCAAGAAAAAAATATTTGCCTTAACTATTTTACTATAATAAATAAATTTAGTTTTATATTAAAATTATAAGAAAATAAGTTAGACAGGCTTTACATTTTATATTTTACCAGTAAAAACAGGAGGGTTTTCTAGGTCAGCGCATGTGTTCCCAAACATTTCTTGTCTGCTCTACAGAGACATAGAGACTCATCAGAAGGATTACCCTCCCAGGAGCTCCAATTTAACTTGTTTCTTCTTGCTACCCCAAAAGTTTGCATTTAGAAGTGGCCATCTGGAAGCAGATGCACTGGCTATGCAGGCAAGTCTCAGCAAAATATTTGCACTGGCAATGACCAATGCTGTCTAAACTGAACTTGTTGTTTAAACACACATTAAAACTGCACAGGGAGAAGCGTGGAAAGCCATCAATTATCAAGAAAACTCCTAGACACCCGCTGGTTTGTCCTGAGGGAGGGAGCAAACACATACCTGAAACACCCAGAAGACAAAACCAAATGATCATGTCAAACAGAGAAAAGTGAGGTGCAATTATTCTCAAAATTAGCTTTCTAGACTCGAGTACAGATTCATGATACTAGTACTATGACTGAAATCTTGGTAAAACAACATCTTAGATGATTAGGTAAAATTTTATTTTTCAAATTTACTTTTAGAGGGATTCAGTTGACATTGGTACTTGCTAAACAAGATTTTGCTTTAAAACAAGCCATTTTTTGTACGTACGGTGTGTCATTAAACTACCACATGGGGGCCTTGTTTGATAAAGCGAATTTCTTAATTTTCCTGAGTAATATATCCTGGATCACATTCTTTCTCTAGATTACTAATCTGAAGATAATTAATCAATTATAGCCAGTACCAAGTACACTACTGCTGTAGTACCACATGATTTTTCACAGTGCTTCCTGAACTTCTTTTGACATGTTACAATTCTTTATTTTATTTATCTGAGTATGTGCACAAAGCTTATTCAGAGCTGTAAGAAGATTCACAGTAAAAACAATGAAAACTGTAAATGCCAAATTTAACCTAAAAGAATCCTGTAGAACTGAATGGGCAAAGCATATTCATTCACTATTTTCCCAACCTCCTCTTTCTCCTCATCAGAAAAGACAACCTTACAAGTATAACATATAGAATGTCCTCAAATCTAAAATGCTATAAGCCAGAGATATTACCAAACCATTGTTTATTTTAATCTCAAAGAAGTAGACTTTCTAAGTACACCCAAACCCAGCAGCCATTCAGAAAAGATTGATAAAAGTGAAGACACAAACTTTTTTAAAAACCCACAAAGCAAGTTTCTCCATAAACAAAAGCTAAAGTAAAATGACAGCCTAGAAAACATACTTGAAACTCATATCATGGACAAAAAGCTAATTGCCTTTATGTACACAGATCAATAAGTACTGTTTCAATAGAACAGTGAAGGTGGAAGCCAAATAGGAGCCAGTAAAAGCATCAATGGGAAGTAAAAATAATATAACTCTTAAAAAGTTGTGAACAGAGTCAGGGGGGCGGGGATGGGAGTGTCGTTGAGGAATGTTGAGTAGAGGGATGTTAGTATTTTATCCCTATTGTATTATTTTTTATGGAAGTGACTTGAGTACATTGCAAAGCTGGTGGAATGAAACCACTGAGAGGGAAAGGTTAGAAAAGCAAGAGAGAGAGAGAGAAAATTGATCAGAAGTGAGAATGCAGAAAAGCAGTGGGATTCAAGGCACAGATGGATGGATTGAGCTTTGGTTGAAGGTACCAATTCTCACTTGTCATTAGGGAGAACTGGTGAGAGTATGGGTGCAGATGTAGTTTTGATTTTTTATTATTAGAAAGTTGGAGGTTCCCATCTGATAGCTTCTGCTTTATCTAGAAATTAAAAGACAATGTCACCACCTGAAAGTTTTAGTCCCTCTTAGTAGAATAAGTTGACTAATAAAATTTAGAACTCCTGGTCAATATTTGAGGACTCATCGAAGATTGGTAATGATGAATTTACGAGGCACATCCACTTGATTGTGTGACTTTCTTTGACATTATTAGTGTCTTAGCCCAGGCTGCCATACAAAAAAAATAATCATAGTCTAGGTGGCTTAAACTACAGAGATTTATTTATTTTTTTTTCACAGTTCCAGCGGCTTGGAAGTCCAAGATCAAGGTACCAGATGATTTGGTTCCTGGTGAGGACTCTCTTTCTGGCTTGTAAGTGGCCACCATTTCCCTATGTGCTCCCATGACCTCTTCTTTGTGTGCAGAGGGTAAAGTAGGGAGTGAGAGAGAAAGAACAAACTTTCTGGCATCTCTTAAAAGGTCACTAATCCCATCATTAGGGACTATTCTCAGCATGTCATCTAACCCTAATGACCTCCCAAGGGTTCCATATCCAAATGACTTTACATTGAGGGTTGAAAGCTCAATGTTTAAATTTGGGAAGACACAGCATTTGGCACAGAAAAGCTAGACTGCTGGCATGCAGGTAATCAGGAAGATGTTGATTTCATGCAGAACTGAAATGTTACAGAGGGTAAAAAGAAAAGTCATAAATACAAGGAAGTCTGGAATATTAACAAGAGTGTGATTCGAATGCAATTTAAGTTGGATATGGAGGAAAAGAAGAGAGAAGTGAAAGGTTGAGGTAGAGAAGAGAGGGTCAAACGACTGGATGATCTGTTGAGTTCCAAGAATAATCATAATGGATATAGTAAACAAGCAAACAGGGAGACTAGATTAGAGGTTGTGGTCAGGTAGTGGCATATGTGAATGAGCAATTTTGGAATTAGAGCAGTTATGGGTGATGACAAAAATCCAAGGTTTGTAATCATGGTAATGTGTGGCAGTGGAGGGCTATGTCTGGTGATGGCAGGAAGTGAAAAAAAAATTCAGAAGTCAGAGTGTTGAATGGACATTTATGTTGTTATGAAGTCACCCAGAATTATGGCAGGATTTGGAATACACAACAGCTGCTGTGTTATCTTCAATAATTTAGGGGGAGTAAGTGGAAGATTAGTAAATGCCAATACTGTCAAGTAATATAAACCTCAAGGACTCAAAGCAAATTTTGTTGGTTTGCTTGC